GAACAGCCGCAAGCCCGGGAACTAACCCGAGCTTGCAGCACCGAAGAACGACCAGCAACACCGAAGCATCGAGGACAGCCGAAGAACGACGAGAGGAGTCGAAGAAGCACCGAGGGAAAGCGAGAGAACGGTGAGGAGGAGGAGGCAGACGACGTCGAGGACGAAGGAGGCAGCGAGCGAGGCCCCAGGGCAAGTGCCAGCAGCCAGCGCCCGCGAGAGAGCCAAATCCGGCAGGCCACGCGCTGAGAGGTCACGCGTCGAACAGCCACGCGCGAAGAAGTCACGAGCCAAGAGGTCACGTGACCGGACCGAGTCCGACCGAGCACGCGAGCCACACGCGTCCGGAAACTTTCCGAAAAGGGAAGCCCCGGCCCCGGACGACCCCGTTTGGACGCCCCAAGCCGGCAAGCGCCCAAAACTACCCAATTTGGAAGGAGCCCGACCCGAGACTTAGCTCTGGCCCCGGAACTAACGGCGGAGATTGAACTTCGGCTTCAAAACACTAGTTCTGACCCAGAAAACTCCAGAAAAATTCCTACAAATTGCTGAAAAATTCCTATAAACCCCAGAAAAATTATGGGAACCCCAGAAAAATCAGGGCATCTTCTAAGGAGACCTACGGAAGATTCCAGAAGGTACCCGAAGGCTGCGCCAGCCAGGAATATAAAGGGAACAGCTAGGACAGCCAGGGAAAATCATCACTCCTCCCCACTTTCATCACTCGACAGCCCCGCAGCCCACCCAGACACTCCTGACCAGAGCTATCCAGCCCAGAAAATATATTGGAGAAACCACTCTACCCAGGAAGTCCAAGAATGCCAATGAAGAACCCCACCTTGGAAAAGAAGATCCAGGATATCGAAAAGGACGAAAAGAAGCGCCGCTCCCGTGCTGCACGCTTTGCCGCCCAGAAGCATAAGAGAGAAGGAGACTCTCGCAGACAAGTCATCGCCCGAATAATCAACAAAGCAAAACAGGAGACGTACGCTCAAAAGCGGGAGATGCGCAGGCCTACCTTTGGAACAGGAAGCCCGCGAGACAGGCTCATACGCCCTCGGTTGTAGATGGAGACTTCATCAATGACTGTGGGGCGGAGGGCACCACTGCTTGGACTATTCAGGACTAGACTACCACATCAGGAACGGACCAATATCTCTTTTCTACCTTTAGGAATAAGATCAGCTGTCTCTGACCCTACTCAGGAAAGAGAAAACAGAGCTGATGAAGTTCATAAAAGGGAGAAGGGTAGAGTATGAAGTCAGGACGTCCTGGATACACAGTCGCACAGCTCGTTAAGCTGGCCAAATCTGTTCAGCTGAGATACCTGACTTCTTTCGCAGGATTCCACGCCACGAAGGCCACCCAGATTCAGGTGCTCATGATGCGCAAAAACCAACGAAAAGAAAATCAGCGACATCAGCTAAACCGATTGTGCCATTGCCAACCACTGCTTGCCGAAGGATTTCGCAAAAGGGATTGGAGAAATGAAACAAAGCAGAACCCCGTCAAGAGGAAACAAAATTAAGAGTCAAACGAAGTGACCGCCGAGGCTCGCCACCGTCCCATCGACTGGAAAGGAGGATCTGACAAGACACGAGCATCGGCAAACCCTTCATTGGCTCCTAAAAATCTTGTTCCGTGGCCAGTCCACCACAGGACAGTGCCACTACCAGAAGCATGCCAACGAAACGGGTTGACCACCCAACCCCATGAGCCCTCAACAAACCTCCGTAGCCCCGAACCAGGGAAATGGAAGAGTGTTGACAAACTCAGGGAGTGTGGCTGCACAAACGGTGCCCATCGCAGGACAACAGCACTCAGGACGGAGGAAGAAGACCCACGGACAGCCAATGAAGGCCAGAGAAGTAAAAGGGAAGGTAAAGCATGAGGCCCCTCCTATCGCTCCCAATGTCCCTTTACGGCCCTCAATAAGGAAGCAAAGACATGTTGAGAAGCGAGCAAGGAGAGCTACAGGCTCAGCGCCCCCACCACCGAACCCACCAAGAGAAGGCAGAGCACGCAGCCTCGGTTGATCACTCTCGATGCCCCTCCATGGCCCACGAACCAGGAAAATGAAGACACATTGAGAAGCAAACAAGCCAGACAGCGAGCTCAGCACCCTCACCAAAGGACCACCGAAAGGAGAAGGAAAACAGCCAAGGAAAAGGAAAAACGCACCAAAGAACAGCTCCCACAGGAAAGCCACAAGAGCGTACCCACACCACTCTCACCACAGCCAACGACAGCAAGAGAGGGAAAGGTAGGAAAGGCAAGAAAGCCACGTCAGGACCCCCAGACATTTACAAGGCGCCCCAGCGGAAGGTGTGGGAAAATCCCACGTAATGTTAAACAAGATTAGCGCCAGCCAACAAGAAGCATCCCCGCCACCGCTGATCCCCCGGACATCACCACCACGCTATCGCCCACCGTCGCCCACAATGTCCACTGCTTCCCTCCCCATGTCTACCACCACCGCCCCCACCTACCAAATCTTTGCGCAGGAGCAGTATACCGTCTTTGTCTATGATGGAGGACGCAGCGACCGACGAATCCGTCTCGGCCAGGAGTTGATTCTACATGAATC